ACAGTCTTTTCTCTAGCGGAAGTATCATGTTTGTATGTTTGTTGGTGTATGTAGGCGTGTGAAAGAGTTCTGCAAACATACCCGCAACAACTGGCGCTCTCTATTACAGGGAATACTCAATATTGGCTATTTGCTTACGGACAAATATTTAAATTTGCGTCTTTAAGTGTAATTACGTAATATTTGAAAAGCATATTTCTAATGTAATCCTATACCTTTATTTGTAATTCTTGCCTCACTTTCTAGCACAGATAACACTCTTACTTTTTGTAAATATTGTCTCCGTAAATACTTCACATCATATCCTTTCTCTAATTTGTTATAATAATACAAATATTATATATCACAAGCGATCAAACCATTCAAGACATGGAATCTTTCCACTTCAAAAACTTTTATAAAAACTGCCACTCTTCGACAGGTGCCTCTCAACACCGGTGTTATGTAGAATAGTCCTCTTATGCTAAAAAACTAATGCTCAAATCTTTGTTGTTTGAGTTTATCTCCCTCAGAAGGTTTTGTGCGATTCTTTTACGTCGTTTCAGTTCTTTTACCTTCCCGGAAGTTTTGGGATTTATACATTTGTATCACTATCTGTATGGGTTTATAAAAAGAAGGACTGCCTGACCGCCTCCGATGATTGGAGGCCATGGACTGGCTGATCACCTTCGTTGCCTCCACTGAAGATAGTTCTTTGAAGATATGGTTTCCGAATATATATTCGTTTCATAATTTGGCACAAACAGAATACACTGTCAGTTCACCTAGTTATTATATAAGAAGTTGGTGTGAATGTTTTTGGGGTTTCTTTCTCCTATTTGATCTATATATGTATGTTCGCTTTATTTCCCTTCGAAGGTTTTGCGCAATGTTTTAATGACGCTTCGATTCTTATGACTTTCAAAAAGATAAAAAATGGAACTTCGCGCTCCCGAAATACCTAACCAATACTTAAAAACTCTCTTATTTCCTTGTATCCTTGTAACAAAATGATGAGAGCTTTAATCTTGTATTTCATGAAATAAATAAATTAGGTTCATCTCGTTCTGGATACATTGCTCTCGTTAATCTTGATGGAACGAAATATATAGTCTCTCCGTTCATATCGAAATTATCAATTTGGATCACCAAAATGTTTGGGTTTTTCAACCTGACCTATGCTTTCTTTCTGCGGGAAGTCTTGCATTTGCATATTTCTTTTATGTCGGGATGAGCTCAAGATAAATAAGTTTATGATGCTATAATGGTCTCTGGACTCCACGTAGGCTCTTATTCTACTGTTGGTAGGGCTTAAGTTCTCAGAAGACCTTCCTACATTTGCATATTTCACTTACGTCGGGATGAGGTAAATATGCTTAGGATGCTACAATGTTCCTTGGACTCAACTCTGCTTTGATATCGAGTGCAATATCGATTCATTGTACCTTTGGTTTTTTTTTTTTGTTAGATCTCGGATAGCAATAATATTTAAAACACTAGACACTGGATTTCGGCTATAACCGCGTACTATAAAGTTTGCAGTGGACCTATTATTCTTTCGGAATAATGAAGAATCAGCCAACTTAACCTGAATTAACTCGAAATGTCACCACGTTTTGAATCCCAAAACTAGGTTCAGCTGAAGCTAAAAGTTAGGGAAGTGCTTGTTTCTATTTCCGATCTAGTAAGAAATTATTTCATCTCCGCCCACCGAACGAAGCATTTATAGCAGAACAGTCGTCTACTTCAAGTTGATTCAGTATTTCAGTTTGTCCTTAAACTTTTCAAGCTAGGAACAGATATACATGAAATAACCCTCAATACTCAGTGATTGAGTCGGATTTTCGGATTATGATGAAAATAGTATGTCCGTGTTGTCTTACAAAACAAAACTTTGGCTGCATTTGAGCGACGTCGCTCTCAGATTCATATTCGAAATCCCTATAATTATGTCAAAAACACTCAATAATCAACAACCAATTTTGTAAACTTTCGGCTGCATGAAGACAGTAGCTGTGTGTTATTGTTGTAATCCTTTAAATGTTTTCAGATTTTCACAACGACTTCAACTGCCGAACCGTTGCACGAGCGCTGACATTAATTTTAATCCCATTTGTATGCCAAGTAATTGTGACATTTAAAAACTGGTGCGTGCAACAACAACAACTTCTACCTTTTTAAACCGCACACATAAGAGGACACTTCGTTCTATGATTGTAAGCCGTTTTAGCGCCGTGGTTGGAGTTGAGTTTTGGAGTTCCTGCGTCAATCAAATGATTTTGATTTTGTTGGTGTTTCGTTGTTGGCAGTTATTGTCACACCCCTTTCTTTTAGCGCCCACCTTTTTTTATGTGGTATTACTATTATTGTTATTCTTGTCATGCACACATTTGATCGGTTTGTTTATGACATTTCTATTGCTGCCGCGGCGGCAGCGGCAGCGACGCAACGCCAGTGTTCGAAAAGGAAGTGAGTGCGGGGAGGAAGTTGTGCGCGGGGTGTGAGGATGCGCAAAATGTGACCGAGATTCACTTCTCAAGCCGACAGCGGTTTAGCAGTTTATTGTTGTTGTAAAACATGGAATACACGCGCCGTCGTGATTTCTGCTACTTGCAGCGAAAGTTTTTATTTGGTCGTCACTTGTTCCCCGCCGCCAATGCGGTCGATTTGTAAAGAAGCATAAGCGGCGGGACCTCAAGCCGACGCTGGCATCCACTTGCCGACGCTTTGCGTTGTTTTGTGTGCGCTTTTGTTTGCACGTCGTGCGGTTAAGCTTGTCATTTGCTCTGTATTAAGCGCTCGGGTGGGCGGTTTGCTGCGCTGAGTTGTGGGCGTCTGCAGCTCGTGGTCCATAATGATGCTGCTAACGGTGTTGGTGGTGGTTGTGGTGTCTCTTAAGTGCTCTCAAACAAAAAGAACACATTTGCCAGATTTCCATGTTCTATGGTTTCCTTGTCTTTGCTGGCATTTGTTTTCATTTACCACCCTTCCGACCGCACCACTTCCCTGCCGCTACCTCGACTGCACAACGCAACCATCACAACAGCCCACACCGCACTCGGTGTGTGAATTGTAATTACAGTGAAATCGGCTTTTAACACTTGTTCACATCCACCCATTCAAACAGATTTTCACCAGCATATTGGTCGTTCGGCCGGAACGGCAAAGCGCCAATGCGTCAGCTTGCCAATCCACGCCAGCTTGAGCGCCCGCCTAGCGCAAGTTGTGATTTCTTTCCTTTTTTTTTCGTTCGTTTTTTTGTATTTTTTGTTTGTCGACTCGGTATGGTTTCGCCTTTCTTCGGCTTGGCTTTCGCAAATTGCAGATTTCCTCATATGTCATGAAATTCTTTTCGCACATTTTCCACATAATTGGCTGCTGTTGCTTCGGATTGCTGTGCCATTCGATTGCTGTGCTGTATTTTGTTGGTATTTTTGTTGCACTGTTGTTGTGGTTGTGAACATATTTCGCCTGCTTACTTATTAACACACTCATTTAGCCGCGTCGTCGTGCGTACGGAGGAACGTATGAATTTTGACAGCCCTCAAGTACGTGTCAAAATTGTTGTGCCTGCTTTGGGGGTGACGTCGCAACTGTGGTGAGTGGGCGTTGCTGCAGACACGGTATTTATGGTTTAACACAAATTATATGTTTGCTGGCTTCTGGTTGCAGTAATTGCTGTTGTTGTGGGCGGAATGATGTACCTCGGTGTGCTTCAGGTTTTATTAAGTGGAAGAGATTTGATTTTCTGCATATCCGAGTTAGAAATTAATTGATAATAGATGTGTCAAAAATAATGAGACTTGCGGAAATATAAAATACTAATAAAACCGTTATAATTAACGATTCATTTATTTCGAATATGTGTGGGGATGTGTTTTGTCGAATAATTTTAGCTTCGATTAGATTAAAGCGCTTTTAGGGTCATAGAAGTTCGGCACCTTGACAAATTTTCAGAAAGATTTTAAGATTTCATGACCTATGACCAGAATCGGAGGTAGGGATTCTAATCTAAATAAGATCTGAGCGACTAATTGTCCTTAAAACACCCTCCTGCAAACTTGACTCCGCTATACTCTTCATCTAGCGTTCATCGAAACATTTTCGTAACACAACGTGCTTTTGTATTATTTAAGAGTGGGAAGAGAACATCCCAAAGTACACATTACAAGAAATTTCTGCATCTAACATAAGAGGTTTCAACCAAGTTGATAATATAGTTTAGCTCGCAGGATTGATCAAAAATCGATGGATCTTACTTGGACAGATATTTAATGTACCTATGATCAGAAAAGGAGTTTTCATTAAGAACACTCCACTCAGAGCTTAAAAGATCTGCTTCCTTTGATGCCAAAGTGAAGTAAAGAGTTGCTTGTCTGGACGAAGTTACAAAAGCAGAGTAGTTCCCCTGCGGTAAATTTAGAGATTTGCACTTAAAATGACGTTTAGTATGTTCGAGCTTCCACCTCCACCTCGTCATCGTGCAGCATATAGGCTGATACAAACCAGAGTTTTCCGGCACCGCCCTTGAACCTCCTTCTTCTTCTTCTTCTTTACTGGCGTAGACACCGCTTACGCAGTTTTAACTGAATTAACAACAGCGCCAGTCGTTTCTTCTTTTTACGTCAATATGAGATTGAAAGCGAAGGCAGGTCCTTCATATCTGAGGCTGTTGTTTCTTGATGATTGGTAGGAGTTTTATTTTGCGGATCCCAAAACCAGCGCCAACGTTGAGGAGGGAATGTTTCGCCTTCTCACTTTAGTTCGCCTTCAAGCGGATGTTTTTTGGCTACCCAGAGGATACACCGAAAGTTGTGAGCTGCTTGAGCCATATGTAAAAGAATCGTTTCTGGCCAATCCTAATTGAATGGCAGTCAGAGAACGTTCCTCACTAGTGGCAACTTCTATACATGACCCCATTTAGCCTTCCTTGAACCTACTTTTGTATTTAATTCCTTCAGAACAACGGAGTCAATATATGCTAGATAGCGTCGGCGTGCCAGTTCCAGTTAAAACTCACATGACTGGATATAATTTATTAGTCTTTTCTAATCCTCAGTACAGGTTTTGAAAAATCGTATATTAATTGGAATTAAGTTTGCCGATTTATCTGATTCTATTAAATTTGTATTAGTTGTATGTTTACAAAAAGTTGTATGAAGCTTTCAATTTTTAACCCAGCAAACCACCACCACCAAGCAAACCACCACCGCTATTCGATTGTTCGCCGGATCCCCGACCACCAACGGGTCTACCACCAAGCAGACCACCACCGCCATTCGATTGTTCGCCGGATCCCCGACCACCACCAGGTCTACCACCACCACCACCCAGCACTCCACCTAAAGTATTTCCAAGATTATCCACTACACCACCATTGTCTCCATCACCGCCGCCGAGCACGCCACCAACACCGTCCAGTGTTCCACCAACTACACCCGTTAAGGGTGTAAGCAAACCGCCCAAACTTTCACAAGTTGTTGAAGTCAGCGGTGTCAATGAGGCACCTAACACTGAGAGCTCACAAAAACGAAAATCACTGTCGGCACTTAGTTCCGTATTCACTTTTATGAAGGGCACACCTTTGCCAGTCACGCTTTTAAAAAGCGGTACGCCGCCTGACTCTTTCATATTTTCCGAGCCAACCGATTTGGCGAACGTCACCAACATACCAATCAAGTTTTTACGCACTTTCAGTTCTTCTTCATCCACCAGCTTTGCTTCGGCTATGGGATTGCCGAACAAATCATTTGCATCAAACATATAGCCGAGTTCGTCACCATGCGCTACTATTTCTGTATTATTATTACTAGCTTGCTCCGAAACGATCGGTAGGCCACGCAAGAAATGTATACCTTTCGAATGTGTGCCGTTATATTCGAAGCTATACATAAATGAAGGTGCGATTTGAGACCAAACTTGTGTGGTTAGAACAGCGGGCAAATTGAAGAGTATATCGGTGGTGGTTTCAACAACCTAAACGAGGTCAATTTCAAGTAATTTGCATTTATAAAAAAATATATATATAAATACCTTCGACAAAACTTGATCCACATTTAATGTCTCCGGCACTTTGAGCAGATCGTTGAGTGTTGGTGTCAAAGCCGATGTTAGGCCGGGCAACACGGGTTTTAAGATTTCTCCTGTGACTTTATCGACACGCAAAAAGCCTGTTAAATCTTTCAGAACATCGGTGAGTGAACTGAGAAATTCTTCTACTGAACCGAAGATTCGATTAAGCGTGCCGATGCTAACTGCGTTCGCGGTCTCGTGTTTTGTGACGCCCGTTAACAACGGTATGGGTGTGAAGTTGCCACTACGCAACTGTTCCTCCGGTGCACCCACAATCAAGCTTGGTAAGGCACGTCCATCGTTTTCGCCCTCGATGTGCGGCGTGAAACCGGCACTGCCAGTGAGTCCTGTAACAATGGCGCGACCGGCGAGACGTTCCGTTTGGACTTGCGAGTCATTTTGTATAATTTCCTCGGCAGATTTCTGAAAAGATTATTAGAAAGGGTTGAAATTGTTGGAGGCTTTACTGGAAACACATATTTTTTGCTCAATGGTAGCTTACTTTCCTTAACTAATTCTTTACGATGTATGTAAAAGTAGATATCAAGAGTGAGCCAGAATTTTAATAGCCTTCTAATTTAGTGTCGATAGATTTGGATCGACATGAATTGAACTGATCTCGATGTTGTTTTTTTATGCCATCTTCTCTCCCTGTTACTACTCTCCAGATCAGTTTTAAAAGTGTGGAATTATGACTTAAACAAAATAACGAGTTTGGTTCGTTTCTTTTTATTACCACAGAATCGTTATCAGCTTAGCTCTAAGTAGCTTTTATAACTGAACTTAATATACGACCAGTTTTTTTTAATAATTTTTTCACTCCAAAGTCGATAAGAAGCTGTCAAACCCTATATTCTACGCTCTAATTGCCAAAACTCGTTGCAAATCAACTTTTTTCTTTACACAACAGCTTTCGGGCATATTTGTTCACAATGAATATTACATATATACATATAATCAATATATACATTGTATATGTACCTCTCTTAAGCACTGCACAATCGCCAACTCATTCGTTGTCGGACAACCATTAATGCTCGCCACCTCCTCCACACTCTGTACGGGCTCCTTGTCGGTCGCATATTGCGACAATGCCGTACCGGACATCGCCACCACACCCGATATATCACTCGCACTACGTGCCGAACGTGACATCGACAAATACATTGCACTCGCTGCGCCCGAACCATGACCAATAGCCTTGACTTGTTTTGGATCGCCGCCAAAATGTTGTATATAATCGTTAACCCAACGTAAAGCCGCAGCCATATCGAAGATCGCCAAATTGCCATCGAACTCCTTAGTGCCATCACCCATAATACCCAACGAACCAAGCCGGTATTGCGGCGTTACGACTATTATACCTTGCTGTGCCATAGGTGTCGCGTCATATTGCGCTGCAGAACCATAACGAAAGCCACCCGGATGTATCCAAACGTAGACTGGCAAACCGGTGCTTTCATCCGGCATACGTGGTGTAAACACGTTCAAAAGTAAACAGTTTTCATTACCTACCACGCGTCTTGGATCATATGGATCCGGTTGTACGCAAGGCGAGCCATATTCTGTCGCATTAATATCACCGGCCATACGCTTGTAGACTGGACGCGCATAACGCAATAGACCAATTGGCGGTTCGGCATAGTGCATGCCGAGAAATGAGTAGATGCCGGTGCGTACATTACGAAAACCTTCGACGCGTGCATCGCGATTGAAAGTGCGCGTAAATACGACCGGATCGTCGGGAGGTGGCGCTTTCGATTGGCGACCACCCACAATACGTTTTACACGTTTATGCTGCAAACTGTCTTCCGCAGGTGACGCATCACATAAAATTAACGCGCTTGCCAAAATCACAAACACAAAAAGCAGTTTAACCACTTTGGTGGCAATAAAATTCACTGAAAATGCTTGAACTTGCGTAGCCATAACGATCATATCTTGTGCGGTTATTGCGAGCGTGATTACTGTGGAGCAGCAATTGTCGTATGTTTTTAATGCGAATGTCAAACAGTAACTGAATACGCGCCCTGCAAACGAACAAGTGTTTCGCTCCAGCGCTTTGCGTGTGAGCTATCGGCTCAGCTCAGAATGCTCAAGCACGCAAGCTCTGCGCGCGCCCCCCTCTCCGGCTTTTGGGTGTATCGTAGCGATAGCGATGTCCAGCGGTAGGTTATTACGATTGCCACTGCTGAATGCAGATTAGCTTCAAATATGAATACTAATGCTGGGTATTGCGTATATATCCAGCATTTATATATATATTTTCAACTGTTTTATTTTGCTCTGTCATTTCGCTGATATAATTAGCTGGGTTTTGCATTCGGTAATTCCATACATTGAATTATCTTCAAGCTTAAACAATGTGAGGAATAAATAAAAAACTCAGATTTATCGCGGAACTCATTTAATATATATGCGAGTGCCTTTGTTGTTGTTATACATAATAAGTTGCAATTTGTTGGAAGTACGAGGTGTGTTCAAAAAGTATCGCGAATTTTGTGTTTTTTCAAAAATTATTTATTTACTCATGAATATCTATTTGGTCCCCTTCAAAGTAATTCCCATGAGATGTTATACACTTATGCCAACGGTTTTTCCAATCTTCGAAGCACTTCAAAAAATTATTTTTTTATCTTCTTCAGCTCCTCCTTCGATGCCGTCTTTATCTCGTCAAGAGAAGCGTAACGTCGTCTTTTCATGGGCCTCTTCAGTTTAGGGAACAAGAAAAAGTCACAGGGGACCAGATCTGGGGAATACGGTGGCTGCGGCATCATTAGTGTGTTGTTTTTGGCTAAAAAGTCGCGCACAAACAACGATGTGTGAGCAGGGGCGTTATCGTGGTGCAAAAGCCAATTTTTGTCACATCCTATCGGCCTTCTGAGAACATTTTGCACCACCGATAAACGTTGCTTCCGTACAAGGTAGCTTCTCCGTATGCCACAGTCAACATTCGGAATGCATTCGAGCACTTAATTTCGTTTTTCGCACAAAATTTGATACAAGTTCTTTGACCCATTTTTTTGAATAGGTAAAAATCGAAGACGATCCAAAACACGTGCAAGTAAAGCAGCTGTCAACAATTAAATGAACATTCAAAATGGCCGAGCTTGTCGGCATAAGTGAGAGACATGAGTACCAACATAACGCCACAAAAAATTCGAAGTTCGAATATACGTAATCCGCGAAAATTCAAAATTCGCGATACTTTTTGAACACACCTCGTACTGTTATAACTGGAAGCTGCAATTTTATTAATTAATGCTTCGTTGTTTCGTTATATTGATATCCGTTGAATCTGTCTAGAAACTAGGTGGGTTGCACTTCTTCTGCTATTCTTCTTCTTCTGTATTCTACAACTTTAGGTTAAATTTATTCCGCGTGTTCTGAAAATCATGCGTGGAGTGATACAATACCATATACATATATAAATTATTTGTCATTCATTATTGCATAGCCTCATAGCCGCAGTGTTGTAATTTTAGAGCCCTTAAACGGATTATTCGAAGCTGACGCATTTTTAGCTAATTAGTCTGAATCCGGTATGTCGATCAAATGTCTATTGGGAAAAACTTGCTAGCAACGAGAGTATAGTACTATAACAACGTCATTCCCGGAATGCCGGTAAACATTTGAATAGTGAATTATCGACGCTATTGTTTAATTGATCGGTTGGCTGGAAAAGTAGGCGAATTAGTACCAGACCACAGGTAGAAGAACTTAGGCCATCATTAGGCTGATTGTGCCTTACCGGGTGGTAAGCAAATAAAGCCTTATGCAGTAACTCAGTGGACTTGCTAAACAACCTGACCAGCCGTCCAATGTTTCTTGAGTTGTAATATTGTCTGAAGACTGGGTATTCGCATAGATAATATTTAACGTGTAATGACTCCTACAATATTACTTAATTCCCTTTTTGCTCAGTCCACGATCAACACTACCCGAACGTAACTTTGTGCAATGCTCTGTGTTGTTGTGTAGCTTAGAAGAAATGCGTTTCTTGCTGCCCCCGAGTAGGCCACCTCGACTGTCTTTTCATTTCTTTCTACTCCATATGGCAGGTATGACGCTATTTGTCTCTTTGAATCAGGTTCGTATTCAAAGACCCTTGTAGTAACAGAAGTCATCCCTGAAATAATTTGGAGAAACGCTGCGGAAATGGCACGCCTTGGCCGAATATAAATCTGCATCGTTCCGGTTACGTAGACCAGGTTGTCATGAGAAAGGCCTGCCAGATCCAGCGCCCATTCTTATTCTTCTTTATTGATGTAGACACTACTTACGCGATTGTGGCGAGTTTACAACAGCGCGCCAGATAGAATATTGTACCCGCTCGGTTAAGCTTTGCATCTCGAATTATTTTCTTCAGTTGTATATTGAAGAAATCACATGATAGGTAGTCTCCTTGTCTGAATCCTCCAGCGCCTATCTGTAGGAAGGATAGAGCCATGTGAGCCATGTGAGCCATGAAGTTCACGCAAGTGAGGAAAGTTCTCTGAGCGCCATTCACTTGGGAGGGCCCAGAAATGATTATTATTTCTTATGAGTCAAATAACTCAACCTAGACGTGGCATCCTCTGGGGAGGTATCCTTTTGAAGTCGACCTAAAGTGATAAGGAGAAGCATCGCTTCTCTAGGTGCTTGTTATAAGAAACAAAGTGTTGTTCCTATACTTGTATGTGAAATGAGTTGTGTAGTATCCCTGTATATAGTCATTGAGGTTTGAAGATACTTCATATAACAAAACGGAGCGAAGAAAGCTAGAAAATTATAAGTAGAAACGTTGAAAGAAAATACTAGACCTATACGCGACCTAAGGAAACGCGGAAATAGTAGAAAAGCAAGCCCATGTGGTCGAAAGAATGAATGATTTTTCATCTTTTTGGTGTAAGAGCTATTTTCAACCAGAGTTACCCAGCATCACACTTCACCACTGTCCGGCTTTTGTTCAAATACTTACAATTTCCCTCAGAATGTTTTTATATATATTTTTTTAATTTATTCTCTTTAAAATTTTTGCCATCGATTTATGAGTTCAAACAAGTGTAAAACTTATCTGCTAACAAATATTTTTATAAACCACTTACAATAGCCTGAGAATTTATGATTTTTCCCAACTAAATTAATAATGAATATAAAATTAGAGTATTTGTTCGCTATTAGCGGCTACAATCAAAGGCTAGCGAGTACTTTACGAGTAGGTAAATGTTTTGACAATTTCATCTGCAATTTTCTTTTGTGGCTACGGAACAAGAGGATTAAGTTGTTTGCAATGGCAGCGGTCAGTGAGTGCACGCACAAACCGACAACACAATAACCATGTAAGCAACATTGCTTTTGCAGAGAAACGGTAGCAAATGGTAGCGGCAGTGGCGGCGGCAGCGGCTAATAAAAGAAAATTGCCAATTATCCGAATTTGTGGCACAAATTGATGAAAATCCCTGCGAACTATTGAGATGCGAGGACCAAAGTACACGCACACGTACACACAAACATATCCTTAGTTGTGTGAGTCCCGGTTACCGTGTGCTGGGAAAGGAGCCACAGGACTTCAGCTGCCACACTTGGTGGCTCTATTATGGCAAAGGCTATAATTATTTATGTTTTTTGTTGTTGCTCTGCGTGCCGCTACTGTATTGGCATCTCTCGCAGCCACGCAGCCGATCGAAAGGTGTACCGCGTAAATCTGCAGAATCGGCTTTTTCGAAATTATTATGAGATTTACAGCTGTTTTGCGGCAAATTTTCGCTTAAGCTTCGTCTTTATTTAAAGAATATGTATGTGCTTGCTTTAAAACTGATTTCTACAACTGTAATATTTGCTAATATGCGCTCACAAGCCGCTCTCAGCTGCTGGTGGTGGTGGTCTTGTGGTCGGCAGTTTGTGGTTTGCTTTGGCGGTTCTCGTTTGTTCGCTTGAACTCAATATGCAAAATACCAATTTGGACTAATTAACGGGATTATAATTAAAAATATATATTTTCAGTTTATCGCTGATGCTCATGTGTGGCGCACGATTGCGTGTGGCTTGTGAAGTTGTGGAGATTTCTCTGCACAGATAATTTTGAGCGTCGCTCGCAAATTAATGAAATTTTTAAAGTTGTTGGTCAGAGATTGATTATTTGTATGTTCTATACCTTGGTACAGGAGATTTTAACTAAGGCTAGACAAAATATCTCCTGTCAGCAAACAGTCGTGGCAGTCGTGACTTGGCTCCCACGTCACTGTGGACAGTCATAACTTCGAAGTCGTAGATAATTTTATCTATGTTGGAACCAGTATTAACACAACAACAACGTCAGTCTAGTAATCCAACGCAAATTAACTAAAATAAAGTTCTGACTCGTCGAACAAAGACCATACTCCACCAGTTATTCATTATTCCGGGCATGCTATATGGTGCAGAGGCATGAACGATGAGAGCATCGGAAGAGTCGGCGTTAAGAATTTTCGAACGAAAAGATCTGCGGAAGATTTATGGTACTTTGGGTATTGGCAAATACCGCAGTCGATGGAACGATGAGCTGTACGAAATATACGACGGAATTGACATAATTTAGCGAATTAAAAGGCAGCGGCTACATTGGCTGGGTAATAATGACGTCCGAATGGATGGATACACTCCAGCTCTGAGAGTAATCGAGCCAGTACCCGCCGGGAGAAGAAGAGGAGTTAAAAGGCCTCCTCTCCGTTGGATAGACCAAGTGGAGAAGGACCTGGCTAAACCTGGAATCTCCAATCGGCGCCAAACAGGGGAGAGTAAGAACGACTGACGTGCTGTTGTAAACTCGGCTATAACCACGTAAGCAATGTCTACGCCAATAAAGAAGAAAAAATCTTGCGGTGGCAGTTTCCAATGATAAAATTTCGCATTACTCTAGTATTATCAGACGGATAAAATATTGCTTTGGTGTGGAAGCCGGAATCTATTGATCGGAATTGGATCTCAGGCAACCTTTCACGCTTCTTGAATACTGCAGTATCTTCTAGGCGATTCTTTTAAAGACAGAAAACTTGCTGACATAGCTAACAATCAGGAAACAACATAAAATTGATAAATATATACGTCACTAGCCAGGGAGCAATTAAGGCAATAATCTCACATCGCATTACGGAAG